TTCTATTTGATTGTGAGTTTTAAAAGCTGGATTTTACCTGCTGTCAGCATTCCTTAGTTCTTTGTGTAGGATTCAGGCTTGTTGGGTTCTGCCCCCACCCCGACCCCTGGTCTTTTATTGTCCTTGGAGTAAAGGTGAGGGGAAAATCATGTAATTATAATCTCTACACAAAAATAAAAGACATAATTTTAAAAACTGATTTCATTTGACCTCATTGGTAGATATATCATTGACTAATTAGGTTACTTATATAGCCCTGCTTTTGACGTGGTACCTGTTATGGTGGAAGTTCCACACGTGGGCTTTTTCTAATTCGGTTTGATTTGGTCTGATTTGGATTACTGCATTGGTGATGAGGCTTACTGGGGTGCAGAAACTTTTCAGTAGCAGAACCACTTTTATCCAGGAGATGACTTTTCCTCACTATCTAGACAGCGTTTTCCTTAGTGTTTTGCATGACTGTTTCACTTAGGATGGTGGGAGCATGAAACATTCCTGGTCTCACTTAAACACAAGTTCCTTGTTTTGTTCTTCCTTGCTATGTTCTTTATCTATTTTTGGTGACGTTTGTTTGCTTTTGGTCTGGTTTGTTCAAGAAGCATGTTATTTCTTCCTTAGTGTCCCATCTCTCCACCCACCTAGTTTCAAATAGTTTCCACAACTCTAGTCCCTGTTCCACACTTACTCCACTCCGTGGTACTTTCCTACAGATCCTTTTTACTGTGCTTTTGGGCCTTGTGGATTCTCCTTGTTCTTATCCTCCCTCACTTCATTCTGCCTTCAGCAAAGGGGCCCGCTAGGCTTCATAGCCCTCTAGTGTGGCCTGGATATTCTCTATAGAGTACCCGGAACAGTGAAAAAGCTTACAGCCTCCCTACAGTCTTCCATCATTCCTTACCTTTCTCCTTTGTTCCCTATCTGACTTAGAGGTTAACTTTATATATAAACTTCTTCCTTTATAAGGAACTACCATCATTCCTTATTTGATATGCAATGTCTGAAAACTGTAGTGTTCATGAACGTAATTACATCAATGTTGCTGATACTTTTTAATTACTTGGGTGAGAGGATAAATCTACCCCATTTCTTCTCTATGTCTGGAAATAGAAGTTTTCATGCAATATTTTTTGTCTTTAAGAAAATAAGCAAATGATAAATGTACATAGAAATATGTCATTTGATAAGGAATACATTAGTAAAATTTGTTTTGTGGTGTTTTATTTTCTTCCTTTCTTATAATCTTTCATCCTTTTTTTCTTTTCTCTTTGTTGCCTCTTAAACTTGTAGGTTTCTTTATTTAAGCTGAAAAATATATTACTGTTATTTCTCACCTGCCTTTTAAATTGTATTTTTCTATGTAGAAACTATTTTATATACCATACATTAATCTATTTCTTTATAACCTATTTTAAAATATTGTTAGAAGGGCTTTGTATATACCAATATTGCTAACATATTTAAATATATTAAATTGTTTTGTGTCAATTGTCTATGTATTCCTGGCTGTTTTAGAACTCACTATGTAGATGATGGCTATCCTGGAACTCACAGAGATCCTCCTATCTCTGCCTCCCAAATGCCGAGATTAAAGGCGTGTGCCACCATGCCCGGCTTACATATTAAGCATTTTGTGTTTTCATTTATTGCATTGTAATCTTTTAATTGTTTGAATCTACTCTGGGAAAAATGTTTAATTAGATAAATATTTAAAGAAATGAGATGTGTCTGAATTCTCAACTCTTGTTTAACTTTAATGGGAAGGAAACTCCTCCCTCCAGATGTTTTACTATAATTCTTCTCATCGTTAGAGTATTACTCAATTATACTGTATAATTAAATTTGTGTAAAGTAAAATATTTCAATTATTTTTTAAAAACAATAACAATGAAGAATTAAAGCATTAGTTGCGAAAAAAGTCAGATTCTCCTTTACTTTTTAACATTTGTGCTAATTCAAATGCTAGAATCCTTGACTTGTGTTGTGTTAGACTTGGGAGGCCTGGTGTTGACTGTCACTGCCAACATGAAAGTGGTGCAGCTGTCTTGCAGCTCCAATTCCTGATCAATGAGGTAAGATTTTTTTTTTACTATTTCAAACATACATGCACAGAGTATTTTTGATTGTTTAAAACACAAATATGCCCACACTTGCACTCACAGAGTATTACAGGTTGAGTATTCCTTATCCAAAACAGTTGGGTCTAGAAAGTCTGTGGATCTTGGATTTTTAAATTTGGGAATATTTGCATATATATTGGGACACCTTGGAGAAGGGAACCACATCTAAATATTAAATTCATTTATATTGTGTGTATACTTTATACACATAGTTTGGTGGTAATTTTGTATAATTTTTTCAATTCTCTTATAGTTTGAATTTAACCACAGTAGATCAGGTATAGAATTTTCCCTTTGTGGAAAAGTTTAACTTTTGGAGCATCTAGACTTTATATATTTGGATTGTGGATATTCAACTTGTAGTTTATATAGTTCTTTTTGATATTATGATTTTAGATGTTTAAAATACATCTGTATACATTATTACTAAAATTCATGTTTTTCATATTCCTATATTAAATTTAGATCTTAAATTTTAAGAAATATTACATTTAAAATCTAAATTTAATACTACACTTAATAAGAGAAAACATTTTATCTATCAGAAGATTCTTTTATTGTGACTATATCATAATTTTAAAAATTATTTAATATTTTTCTAAACCATTGAGCTTCCTTTCTACTCACTCTCTTTCCCTAATTTAAATATTTTGCTTGTATCTTCATTGAAAGCTTATTATTGTTTACCAATAGACTTTTATATGTATAATGCATACATCTTTTATTTGTATTCATGTATTTATCATTTATTTCATACACACTTGTTGTTTCATGTATGCATTTTCTTTGTGTCCATAGGTATTTTAGATGATTAGCTTTCTAAATTTTTAGAAACAGAATATGTATTTATAAGGCTAAGAAAGTTTGTAGTTCTTACTTAGTTGAAGACAACTTAAAGTCATTTTATCTCAAATTTCTCCAGTGGCTACTGCCATTGTGTGCAGCTCTTTTATGTTAAATGAACCAGTCAGTATGACAACCTGTAATGATGGTAATGGCAAATGTTGACTTTACTTGTCTCAGACTTTTTCAGAGGGTGATGATAACCTTTTTGGCTGAACAGTCAAACATATTTCTTCTTGTAGGCAGTCTTGAATGAGTATCATATAGGGAGGAAAACAGGAAAATAGAAAACATTAGTATGATAGTCACTATGATCTGAAGTGTTCACCTTTCTCTGTTCCCTTGCTATTTTGTAGTTCTTAGGAGAGGGATCTCACGTAGCTTTTTGCCTTCTGCAGCTGGCATGGTTTGTTTCTCTGTAGTTTGCTCTTGTGCTATTGAGGTTATATAACTAAATAAATAAAGACAAGCTTCAATCTCCTTTCTTTGTTTTCATTGTCTATCATCAACTACCTACCCTGATGTACCCCATAATAATTTCTGGACTTTTCTCCATATCTCCTAGTTCCTGACTCTACGGTTAGTGCTCCTTATTTACAGGTTTACATTTTTATGCAGATCATCAGAAGTATTACTGGTGGAAGTTCATTTTGCTTCTGTAAATGAACTGTAGGCATCCTGCTAGTGAACTTACTTTCATTTATATATTTGGTGGTCCATTGATGTTGCTATATCCTAGTCTTATCACAGACCAAATAACTGATTTTCTTTATAGCTTAATCAGATGTCACACAGAAATGTTATTCAGTTTGTGCTGTTATATTTTAATTTTGTTGTCCTTGGCATATTGTTTTGTGTTACAGAAAATTATCTATTATAAATCATGTTTTAAAAATTTCAAATTCAAAATTTAATAATTTCATCTTTCTATTGTTACCTTTTCCCAAGTGAATGTCTCCCTCTCTCAGAAATAAGATCATTATTCTGTACTGAGCTAAAAAGTTGTAGTTCATTAAATATCTTCAAGAAATATTAATAATTTTAGGATACCTAGAAATCATCTATGCATTTATAAACATTCATCCACACAAATATAAAATCTTCAAAGCATACATGAGGTAAATGTTATTGTGTGATGTAAAATAATTTGAGTTCATGTTAAAATATATATTAATGTATACCCTTTGGGCATGTGTATTTACATATATATGAAATTTATATAAATAATAATGAAAATATTCTGATTATAATTTGTTATAAAGATATTCTTATGTGAGACACAAATCCCAGATATATGAGGTAACGAGAAATATTGTGGAATACTATACTGGCTAGCCTTATATTAACTTGACATAAGCTAGAGTTACCTGAATTGAGAGAACCTCAAATAGAAAAATGCCTCCCTAAGATTCAGCTGTAAGGAATTTTCTTAATTAGTGATTGATAGAGGAGGGCCCAGACCATTGTGGGTGGGATCATCCCTGGGCTGGTGGCCTTAGGCTCTATAAGAAAGCAGATGTGCAAGCCAGGAAAGCAAGACCATACCCAGCTCCCTTCCATGGCCTCTGCATCAGCTCTTGCCCCCCGGATCCTGCCCTGTGTGAGTTTCTGTCCTGACTTCCTTCAATGATGAGCAGTGCTGTGGAAGTGTAAGCCAAATAAACCCTTTTCTCTCCAGGTTTCTTTGGTCATGGTGTTTCACTGACTAAGAGAAGTTGGTATCAGCATAGTGGGGTACTGATGTGACAGACCTGATCATGTTTTTGGGAGGACTGTGGAAGAACTTTGATCTAGAAAATCCATTGAGTGTTTAGAACTCAGTGGGATGTTCTGTAGGACCTTGGAAAATAAGACTGTTGAGAGCAGAGTGGAAGATGGAGGCCTGATCTGTGAAGTTTTCAAAGGAAGTTTAAAGACTATCAGGGCTGTTTGCTCTTTTGAATTTAGAGTCTGTCATTCTGGTCAGCTGGGGCTGAAGAGTTGGTCATGATTAACAAGAGACCAGCACCATTGAAATGAAACCTTTGTGCTACTGGCACAGTTGATGCTGATTAGCTGGAGCTTAGAAACTAGTGATTAAGAAGAGAACAGCATCACTGAGGTGAAATCTTCCAGGAAATGTTTCCTAAGAGTTAGTACACAGAAGCTGTATTACTGAGGAGGGCAAGGTTGTATGTTTCTCTGGCAGCTGAATTTGGTAGTGTAAGAATCACCCAGGTGGTACTGGTTTTGAAGCCTTGAAAGAATCATGGAGAGCAGCCACCACACTGGGAGAGACCAGAAGAGGCCATTGTGAAGGCGCAGCCTCAGTGGCAATTGAAGGCCAATGACTGAAGGGGTCAGGCTGAGTTGAGTCTTGGCACCACAAAGTGAGCCTAAGAGAGGCTATTGGTGACAGTGCAGCCCAGTTGAAGCAGAAGTTTTTGAGATATCAGTATCATGGAATAACCACCACCACCAGCAGCAGCAACAGCAGTGGAGCAGGGAGCCAGCCGGAGTTCAGAAGACAAGCTGTGTGTGCTGCAGAGGGTGGAGCCTGAGAAGTGACCAAAACCCTTTGGAGGAGTTCAGAAGACTGTGAGTGCATCCCAGTCACTGGATAGTTGGAGTTTGCTTTTGCTTTGATTTTGTTGTGACTGCCCTGGTTCTTCCCTCTTGGAGTAAGAAAGTATTTAACTTATTATTTTTTTTAATTTTTTCTGGAGCCCAATTGAGAGACTTTGGATTTTAAAGACTTTGGATTTTAAAAGATATTGGCTACTTTAAAGAGACTGAGGTTTTAATGTGTTTGAACTTGTTAAAACTGTGGGACTTTTAACATTAAGTTTTTTAATGTGAAATCTTGGGGACAATTAAGAAAGGAAGGGTTGTGGCCTAAAAGTGATGTGTTTGCGCTAACAAACGTCAGTTGTGCTGGCTAGTTTATGTCAACTTGGCACAATCTATGATCCAGCTGTAAGAAATTTTCTTAGTGATTGATGTAGGAGAGCCCAACCCATTGTGAGTGGTGCCATTCCTGGGCTGGTGGTCCTTGGTTCTATAAGCAGGCAGGCTGAGCAAGTCATAGGAAGCAAGCTAGTAAGCAGCACTTTTCCATGACTTCTGCATCAGCTCCTACCTCCAGGATCCTGCCCTGTTTGAGTTCCTGTCCTGACTTCCTTCAGTGATGATCAGAGCTTTGGAAGTGTAAGCCAAATAAACTCTTTTGTCTCCAGGTTTTTTTGGTCATGGTGTTTCATCTGAGCAATAGTAACCCTGACTAAGACAGGTACAGTATAGACAGTTTCTGATCTGCCTGGTCCGCTGTCTTTCAGGCCCAAATAAATACACAGTCTTAGTGTATAAACTTTTTGGCTGATGACTAGGACTTCTTTTTGCCTATCTCTCTGTTAATTATTAACCCATTTCTATTAATCTGTGTATCGCCATGAGGCTGTGGCTTACCCGTTATCTGGCATGTTACTCCTTCGGCAGCATGGTATCTCTTGGCCTCCTCTCTCTGTCCTTCTCCTCTCTCCAGCCTTCTCCTGGGCTGGTAGCCCCAACTATACTTCCTGCCTGGGTACTTGAATCAGTGTTTTATTCATCAACCAATAAGAGAAATAAAGTTGACAATTTAAAAATATGTTTTCATATGGACTATAAATGAGAATGTGCATGTGACTGAGGTTGTAAACTGTGAAAGATTGCTTGTAATAAAGTTGTTTGGGAAATATATAAAGTACTTTAGGTATCTCAAGATCACCATGTGTCTGCCAGATAACTATTAGAGAACACTTAGTACTCGAGTGTAGCTTTAGGTGTTATTTCAGTGAGAGAGATACTTGTATAATAAAAGTTCTGACATACTTAAGATGACCTTTGGATGTCTGTGTGTGTGTGTGTGTGTGTGTGTGTGTGTGTGTGTGTGTGTGTGTGTGTATAAAGCTAAAGTTATATGTGACAGTTATCTGTACATATGCTCTCTGCTACTTTCAATGGTGGAACATATTCTATTGTATTTGAGATAGGAATTGATGGTAATAAGGCAAAGGATTTTAGTATTTAGTTATGCTTCAAAGTGAAGAAATAGCATAGGTGTTTTTTATATCACAAATAAAGCTTTTTAGGCTGTAAGTAGCAGGTCAAATTATAAAATAATTTTAAGAAACCATACATAAATTTTAGATGTAAAAAAATAGATTCAAAGGATAAACTTTTTTTTTTTTTGGTTTTTCGAGACAGGATTTCTCTGAGGCTTTGGATGCTGCTCTGGAACTAGCTCTTGTAGACCAGGCTGGTCTCGAACTCACGAGATCCACCTACCTCTGCCTTCTGAGTGCTGGGATTAAAGGCATGTGCCACCACCACCCAGCTCAAAGGATAATCTTTTATGACCTGTATCTGATTAATGAAACTGGGCTGGCTATTGGCTTCCTTATGAAGTTATATATTTATGTAAATAGTAGAAACAAAGATTTTAAACTATTTTCATAAAGGAAATAAAAGAAAAGCCCTTTAATAGTCATAATGATGTCATCCTAGTTTGCTTTTAACTGCTGTGATAAACACATGGCCAAAAGCAACTTGGAGGGGAATTGTTTGATTTCATCTAACAGGTTGCAGTCCATCAATTGAGGGAAATCAGAGTAGTAACTGCATGCTACAGGGCAGTAACTTGAAGTAGAAGCCATGGAGGAATGCTACTGATTGCTTGCTCCCTCTGGCTTATGCTCAGTCAGGTTTTTCATATGACCTGCGACTACCTGCCTAAGGGTGGGCACTGCTTATAGTTTCCTGGGCCCTCCTACATCTACCAGCAATCAATAAATACGCCCCAGACATTCCACACTGTGGATCTGATGGAAGCAGTTCCTCAGCTGAGGGTCCTTACTCAAGTGACTCTAGATTGTAACAAGCTGATGATAAAACCTAAGCAGTGAATGTGGTATATTGATTATTCCTCTCTAGTAGTAAAAGGGTATTTTCTGAACAAGTCCTCCTGACCATAAATATGTACTAAGTCACTTGCCTCTCCAACTCAGTGTTCTTAAACTTTCATACTGTAATTTTTCTTTTTTTTCTAGGTTACTAAACACGTATCTATTCAAGCAATGTTAGATCTGTAAATTTGTTGTTTCTGTTGTCCTAATAAGTAAGCCGCAAACTTGGTCTTCTTTTGTCACAGGGCGCTTTGGTTAGTGCGAGTTCAGATGATACACTTCATTTGTGGAATCTGAGACAGAAAAGGCCAGCCATTCTTCATTCCCTTAAATTTAACAGAGAACGGTAAGAGCATAACAGAATAACTGCTATGTGTGACAGAACTGTTTTTCGATAAAATTTTGTGCTAGGTTGACAAACTTTTTGTTTTTTTTAAGTCTATGCTATTGGAATATTTTTCATAGAAAATGAATAATTGGGATAGATTCAGCCATTTATGAAAATGTGAAATATCTAAACCTTTTGTTCTCTAGGCTATCAAACATCATTTCAGCAATCATATTTTCTTTTCCCTGGGCTATGGCAATGAAAACTTAAACCTAACATTATAAAACTCAAGTAAAAACAAATTTATTTTACATATTTTTATTATTTCAGATATCTCCAGCGTTCCAACCTGACCCTCTTATCTAAATACTTTTTAGCAGTAATATCAGCTCTAATTAAACACTGAATTTTAGCATTGCCAAAGATGGTACTTGGATCAAAATTGAGTTTCCCTTATTTTAGAATGATTATAGCCAGGGATTTATTTGAATGCAAACAGGAGAAGTTATCTTATTTGTAATAAATCGTATCACATTTTTATATGTCCAGCGTTGGATTCAATTAGGCCTAGACATGTGCACATCTACTTATAATCATCAGTGATCAAGTAAACACTGGGATGTACCTTAACTATGTAGAGTAGTCTGCTACTCCATGGGAAGCAAGCAGACTTTTTGTAGTAAATGAAAAAGCACACCACAGGAAAATTTGATGTTAATGGTAAGAAGAGAAACCTTTGAGAAGTAATTTATACAGACTGACACCATTCAAACCAAGATAAACACTGGAGAAAAGCAGTGTTGACCTAGAGACCAACATGGTGTTGATTTTATTGCATGATAATGGTTGGTAAGTAATACTGCTATTTTGGCAGAATATGAAAAATATGTGTTTTTATGAATATTAGAAAATAGAAGGGTAGCTATATGGAAATTCCTCTTTTTCCAGTATTTTTCATTTTATGTGCATAATATGTGAGGGTTAAATCATTCAGTTTAAATATTCTGAATAAAATTTATGAGTACTGTATCTCATTACTTTATTGGCATCTTTATATCTAGTATTTTTTGCAATAAGAAAAATTAACACTTAAGAATTTACTGCTGGACAGTGGTAGCATGTGCCTTTAATTCCAGCACTCAGAATGCAGAGGCAGGTGGTGAGTTCGAGGCCAGCCTATTCTATGGAGCAAGTTCTGGGACAACAGGGCTACACAGAGAAATTTGGTTTTTTGTTTTGTTTTGTTTGTTTGTTTTTTGTTTTTGTTTGTTTCCTAAAGTTAGTCAAGACTTCTTTGGATTAGGCTGATTATTTTTCTACTTTATATTGTAGAAGAAGTGGTTTTCATGAATACTGCAAAGATACAATGGGCCAGGCAGTACCAAGTGTATGGTGGGCTGTCTTATTTTAAATATAAAACAAGTAATAGAGTAAAAATGTAAGGATGTTGAAAAACTATAAGACCAGCTCAGAGGTGCTATACTGCCATACCACTAAAATAATTCCCTATTCAGATTGTTATGCTGTTAGTCTCTACCTGTTCACAAGATTTCTTTGAGGGAGGGAATCTGGGAGATGATTCAGTTGGTCATTCTGGGGTTGGAGAAGGCAGATACCTGAAGCTCATTGCCCAACCTCTGGCCTCAAAACATATCCATGAACACATGCACACCATGTGCATACATGCATGTATGACACACACAAGATTTTTTTTCTCTTTCAACGCCTTGAGTAAACCTCACTGTTTACTTTTCTGTTGATGGACAAAATATATTGTCATTTTCTTGTTTTTTATTTCCTCACTATTCAGACATTAAAGGTAATATTATGGTCTCCTTTATGACTCTCTTGAAAGGAAGACATATTGATGATCATGATTTCAAGTTATATATATATATATATATATATATATATATTTATCTTAGTTGGAGTGAATTGGTTAGCAATCTAAGGAACAAGCTGGCAGGCTTGGTACAAGTTTACATCCTGGGAACTCTGAAAACATTATTTTGTTTTAAAGGACTTAAAATTTTTAATTTTTAAAATTTATGTGTATTAGTGCTTTGTGTGCATGAATGTCTGCACACCATGTACATGCCTGGTGTCTATAGAGGCTAGAAGAGGGTGTCAGATCCTCTTGGATTGGAGTTACAGATAGTTGTGAGCCACCATAGGTGTTAGAAATCAAACCTGGGTCCTCTGGAAGAGCAGCAAGTGCTTTTAACTTAACTTGAATAATATCTCCAGCCTCACACTGTTTTATTTTAACACCTACAAAATACATAGTATTTATTTTGAAATGATGTGTATGTGCCATCATGTGACTTAAGGTATGCTTATATCTCCTGATTCTTGGGTTCCTTTCAAATACATTTTAGAATGAAACATGTAAAAGCTACTTTTTTTTTGGTTTTTCGAGACAGGGTTTCTCTGTGGCTTTGGAGGCTGTCCTGGAACTCTCTTGGTAGTCCAGGCTGGTCTCGAACTTACAGAGATCCGCCTGCCTCTGCCTCCCGAGTGCTGGGATTAAAGGCGTGTGCCACCAACTTTTAACGTGAGCCAAGCAATGACTAAAACATCCACATTTTAATCATATTAACATTCTTTGGTATCACTGGTCATAAATTTTTGTAACATTAGAGAAAGCAGAGTGTTTGATGTGTTTTGTAGATGAAATTCAGTATATAAACTATGATTTATAGACCCTTAAATTATTTGAACCTATTATGTCAATTCACATTTTCTGTCTGTGGTGTTCTACCAGTTAATTTAGCCCAAATATTTCCAAAGAATAGTAACTAAAGGGAAGGAATATTTTACTAACAACTATAACAAAAAATCTAGAAAACTTGCTTTACTAGAACAATTTGAACTGTTTTTATGTTTTAAATTTCTCAAATAATGTTTATTTGGTTTGATATTCAAAATATACAAGGTTACATATACCAAAGAATGTTATTCCTGTCTCCTACATGGCATGAGTTTCCAGGCTTTATATATATATTTTATTTTTGTTTGTCCCATGTCATCTCTCAAACCTTCCATTCCCCACTGTATCCTTGTGTCTGCAATTTTTCCCTCTTCTATTTTGTTCTTTTGTCTTTTCCATCCCATCCATTAAAATCTTTCCCCCAATCACATGGTTCCCTTCCTCATTTCCTGGCCTTTACCTCTATTTATTTCCACCTAGATGCACATATTCAACAATTAGAGGCTAGGATTTGCATATGAGAGAAAACATATGTGGAGGTTTTGGTTCTCTCTGAGTCCATTCCAGATGTTCCCATCCTCTCCTACAATCAAGTTCCAGCATCCTCCTTCATTACCAATGGCTCTACAGAAAATTTCAGCACCATGCTAGTTCTGCTGAGGACTTTAACTTCTTGTACTGAAGCTTTATGGGATTCTCTGCTTATATAGCAATATAGATGTCTGTTACTAAATTACCCAGCCTCTACTGTATAAACTAATTTGACAGACCCTTTAACACATGCACACATATGTGTGCGTGTGTGTATATTCTATTGGTTCTGTTCTCTTAGAGAACCCTGCTTACTATTGGTGGCTCTCAGAACAACTCATTGGAGGCTTCACAAGGGAAGTATCTACTTTCAGTCTTATTTTGTTGTTGGCAACATTTAGGTATCTTGCGAATTGATGGTGGGCCTTGGCTTCTTACTGGATGTTGGTTAAAAGCTATGTTTTGGCCGGGCAGTGGTGGTGCATACCTTTAATCCCAGCACTTGGGAGGCAGAGGCAGGCAGATCTCTGTGAGTTTAAGACCAGCCTAGTCTACACAAGCTAGTTCCAGGACAGGCTCCAAAGCTACATAGAAACCCTGTCTTGAAAACAAACAAACAAACAAACAAACAAAGCTATGTTCTTTTTGCCATATGGTTGTTGTATGAGAGACTTTTCTTGGGGAGACACAGCACACATACATCTGCTCAACTCAGATAGAAAAACTAAAAACTAACAGTTGGAGCAAAATTCAACTTGGTGAACCAAACAGTTGTTACTGGGGTTACTAACAGGAGTATGGGAGAAGGGTTATTTATAAGGGCAAAGATGACTCAAAAGAGCAGCTGTCTCACAAAAAACATGCCTCTCCCCCAGAAACCTATGGAAGTTGAATTCCTGGAGCTCAGTTCAACCCATCCAGGAAACCTCTCTATAGCACAGCTGATGGAAACAACTCACCTCCCAGTGCTGTCTCTTCTGAACCCCAGATGTACTGTTTAACTCAATAATTTTGTCAGTTATGAATTCCATGTGAATGGAATTATGTAGTAAATTTTTGAAGACTAGATTTTCACCAAGTATATTTTTTGGAGGTTCATCCAAAATATCAATAATTTATATATTTTTATTTTTAAATAGTATCTCACAGTTGTGGTGATACATTGCTTATGATCTAATAAAACCACTGGAGATCAAAATGCAAAGCTAGCCACAGCCATAGAGCCAGGCAGTGGTGATACATATCTTTAATCCCAGAAGCCACACTAACTAGCCATAGAACCAGGAGGTAGTAGTACACACCTTTAATCACAGGATTTGGAAGACAGAGGCAGCCGGATCTCTGTTAGTGCAAGGTCACAATGAGCTGCATTCAATTGATCTAGTTGAAAAGAGAAACAGTTCACACAAATGTGATCCTAGCACTTGGGATCACACACCTTTAATCTCAGCACGAGGGAGGTGGAGACAGGAGTAATATAGCTGGGCATAGAGGAATATAAGGAGGAGGAGATAGGAACTAAGGGATTGCAGTCAGGCTTGGTGGAGAGCAGTGCAGTCTGCATTGCACTCTGAGGATTCGCGAAGAAAGGATCACCCATTTTTGGTCTGAGGTAGAAATAAGAGGTAATGGCTAGCTGCTTTGCTTTTATGATCTTCAGCTTGAACTCCAATATCTGTCTCTGGGTTTATATTTATTTGTGTTCCACACAGTATTAATGGCAATAGTTTTAGAATATCTAGATTGGTTTTAAATTTTAGTTTAAAAAATTTTCAGT